CTTTTGGGACCCTAGAAACTGTCCCATAGACTTCCACTGCAAAAGACTCTCATTGACTTTAAATTGGGTCAAACTTTGTGAGCTCATAACTCTATCTATCCATCTATCCATCTATCCATCTATCCATCTATCTATCTATCCATCTATCCATCTATCCATCTATCCATCCATCCATCCATCCATCCATCCATCATCAGGCTTTCACAAGCCAGCCTCAAAGTTTGTTCTCAAACTTTAAGAATCTAGTTCTTCTACAGTTTATTTAGAATCAAGTTAAATTGGTTGTCAGCTAGCTAGCATGTTAGCTAGCTGACTAACTGATTCATTTGTTGTTGATAAACATGTTCCGCAAAACTGTAGAGTTTTTAGGTACGCATGTACAATATGTTTTCAGTTTAAACCACTGTGTAATTTAGCATTTTTAAATTACAATTTACATTGGTATTCGCTAAAGTGCTATTTTAGCCATTATTGTTGTGCATTAATGAAATGTAAAATACATAAACTATAACATTCTACACATTTTTTAAAGCATTTTAAGATGATTAACTAAGTTTTTAGCTTACAAATTAGCTATTGTCAAAGCTACACATGGGTCACGGCTCGCTGAATTTTGTTTTAGACTTGCAACATACTGTAGCCACTACTGTCCACACAGTACTAATTTATTCGTATTATAAATGGCAGAATGTAATTACTAACATATTACTAGTGTGCTTTAATTTAATTATTCCCAATAAGGGGTTTTATACTGGATGTTAAAGTGAACTTTCTGCTTCTGTGGCTAGTTTTCTTAGTAGCTGGCAAGAAACTAGCATAGAAGCTAGCTAACTATTTAATAAGTTGTAATTTAGCGGCTACTACAGTGGCTGAGTGTTTACATACTTGCATAAAGTATGCTTTAGGCCTTTGCTTAATTTAGAATTAGCAATTTTTAGTTAGCGTGTACATTGTTAGCCGTGTTTATGATGCGTGTTTTATCCACAGGCTCGGGCCAATGGACTTCAGTCTTGCGTCATCATTATTCGGGTTCTGCGGGATCTCTGCCAGCGCATACCAACATGGGGAAAGATGCCAAACTGGGTCAGTTAGCTGTGCATGCTAACAATGAACTTAGCTTAAGTTAGTTATGGTCATAACTAACAAGTTGCGTTTTCCTTTATAAAGGCCATGGAGCTGATTGTGGAGAAGGCCATTAGCAGTGCGTCTGGACCGCTCAGTCCTGGAGAAGCTTTGCGGAGGGTCCTTGAATGCATCGCCACTGGCATTCTCCTGCCAGGTAAAGATTATTTTGAAATTATGACCAAGATCATTTTAATATTATGAATGTAACACTGGTGTAATTCGATTTGTTTACGTGTTTACCGAACAAATACAATTGTTGTTGTTTTGTGGTTTTATTTTCAACAATCAAAGTTAAATTTCATGATCTATCTTTTACTCTTTAACACTTTCGGTTAATAATAAAACTTACAAATGCGTTTTTTTGGGGACAAATGTTTATAGTAATGCATCGATATGGAAATTTTAGCCGTTACAGATAACCGAAAAAAATTTTAACGCCAATTTTATATATAGAATTATAGTATTATGGGATATAGTATTGGCTGATAAATGCTCATTTGGAATGTTTCCTTTATTTAAACTGCTGAGACCACCAGTATTTTGTTAGCATTTATAGCCACATTTATTAGTCTTGACAGATTTTGCTCTTGTTTAAATAGTATCGTACCACAACCGATATGGCCACAAATATATTGTCAGCATTTATCGGACATATTTATAAACATTGGCTAATCATTGAAACATTTTTCTGTTATTGATGTTGAATTAAATTTGTTAAAATTTAATGGCCGTATGTTTTTGGATTTTCCGATAAATGATAATTTCAGTGTTATCGTTATTGATATCTGTATAGCCACCAATATATTGTAGCATTTATTGCCAATATTTATAAGTATTGGCCGATACATGCTAATTTTAATATTATCGGTATTGAAACCGATATGACCCCCAATTTTATTCTTAACATTTAATGGCCGTATGTTTTTGGATTGGCTGATACATGCTAATTTCAATGTTATCGGTATTGATATCGTTATAGCCACCAATATATTGTAGCATTTATTGCCCATATTTATTAGTACTGGCCGATACATGCTAATTTTATTTATCAATGTTGAAACCGATATGGCCCCCAATTTATTCTTAACATTTAATGGCCATGTGTTTTTAGATTGGCCGATACATGCTAATTTCAATGTTATCAGTGTTGAAACCAATATGGCCACCAATATATTGTAGCATTTATTGGCCGTATTTTTTAATGTTGGCCGATACATGCTAATTTCAATGTTAAAGGTATTGAAACCGATATGGCGACCAATTTATTCATAACATTTAATGGGCGTATGTTTTTAAATTGGCCGATACATGCTAATTTCAATGTTATCGGTATTGAAACCACAAATATGCCCCCTAATTTATTCTTAACATTTAATGGCCATATGTTTTTGGATTGGCTGATACATGCTAATTTCAATGTTATTGGTATCCAAACCGATATTGCCACCAATTTATTCTTAACATTTAATGGGGGGTATGTTTTTAAATTGGCCGATACATGCTAATTTCAATGTTATTAGTATTGAAACCGATATAGCCACACATATATTGTAGCATTTAATGCCCATATTTATTAGTATTGCCCTATACATGCTAATTTCAATGTCATCAATATTCAAATCGACATGGTCACTGAGTATATTGTAGAATTTAATGGCCATGTTTTTTAGTATTGGCTGATACATGCTATTTTCAATGTTATCGGTATTAAAGCTGATATAGCCACCAATATATTGTTAGCATTTAATGGGCAAATTTTTGCATTAACCGATACCTGCTAATTTCAATGTCATCAGTATTGAAACCGATATAGCCACTCTTTATATTGTAGAATTTAATGGCCATGTTTTTTAGTATTGGCCAATACATGCTAATATAAATGTTATCGGTACTGAAACCGATATCGCAAGCAGTATTTATTGGCTTTATTTATTAAAATAGACTAATAAATGTTACGCTTTTTAAGTGTTATCATGTCAAATCAATATTTCCACTAATATATTGTGCATTATAATAAAATATCTCTCAATATATTGACTATTTTTGGGTCTGTCCCTCAGATGGTCCTGGTCTTCTCGACCCATGTGAGAAAGGTCAGACAGATGCTTTGGGAACCATGTCGAAACAGGCTCGTGAAGACGTAACCGCTAACGCACAGGTACTAAACTAATGTGACTAGTCAAGTTTTTCAACTATTTTATATGAGCTGTTCTGTAAGGGACGTATCTTCGTTTTCCAGCATGCACTACGTCTGCTGGCTTTCCGTCAGATCCATAAAGTCCTCGGCATGGGCTCATTGCCGGTGTCCAAAGCTGCCGCTAGAAACCGCAAAAGACGACGTGACGGCAGCGACGTCGGTGAAGGAGAAGCAGACGGAAAAAAGGACAAAAAAGATGATTCCAACGACCCCTGAGACGTCTGCGTAATCTCAGCAACCTTTCAAAATGTATAAATATCCCTCAAAAGAGGAAAGAAACAAAGCAACACCCAATGGTTCTGTTTTTTGAAAATGACAAGTGACGGAAATAACTTGTATTCGTTCCCCTTTTATGATGTAATACCTTTTTATTACATCTGAGATGAAAATACGCTCCCAAAATTGGACTTAGTTTTCAGCGAATCAGATGATGACGATTGAACGTCACGCTACTTTAATATAAACCGTTATTGAAAGTCACATTAGTTCTATTAGGCACTTTTACGTAATAAAGGCACTTAATTAAAAGCTTTAATCATCCTGACACAGGCCAGTCTCTTATGTTTACATAAGCATTTCATTTCAAAATATATATATATGAGGTGGGGCCCAAAAGTCTGAGAGCAGAGATTATTTTTTTAGTTAAAAACATACGTTTTATGATTTAAATTAATGTGAAATGCATATTATAGAATTATATTTCAGATTCTGCACATTTAAAACAAAGTGAAGGTGATGTTAAATATGTAAAACAGACTTAAAAACACATCCGAATAAAAGTCAACGTCTCAGACTCTTGAATCCCGTCTAAATCGGTTTTATGTGATAATATTATTATAACGAGTTCTATAATAATATTATGGTGATTTCATGCAAATAAATTAGTTTCTCTCTATACTGTGTATCTTAAAATGGTTTTAAAAATGCGTAGTTCCTAGTATTCACTAATAATAAGCTGTTAAAAGTCACGATTCAGCTTTGTGTGGTCGTCTATTAACCCCCGACACTGGATTTCTACACGTTTAGCGCAAAACACAGACATCTCCGCTATCATTATTTTGAATTGCATACTGAATAATCGATCATTTCACGGCAAGAAGCTGGCGTTTCGACAGGGTATCGAGAAGTCGTTCTTCGGCGAACGACGACAACGTTAAAAAAATATATATAAAAAATAAGTCTGTGGTTCTTCACACGTGCCTGCGGTAAAGATTTAAAGTACTTGAAATGTGAATGACGAGGCGAAGAAGTGCGGTTCTTCATATTGCAATATAATATAATGTAATACCTCTCTCTATTCTTACATTTTTATATAAATCTTGATGTGAGATGCGCAGAAAGTTTGCTGTTAGTATGTTGATTCTTCATATCGCTTGGATTTGCGTTTCCGCACACCCGTTTTTACGTACAATGCGACGGTTTCCCGCCATTTTTAGATGTTCCTGCTGAGTGTTTGTTGACTTTTTTTTTGTAGGACTGTGAATAATTCTAGCGTGATCCTTCATTTGGAATATCTGTGTAGTGCTGCATAACGAAATAAACAGAGAAACACGGGCTCGCTGTGTCTTTTTTGTTGCATCAAGTGTATTTTTACCATCACGTATGGTCATAAATGGGGTGGAAAAAGACGTCAGAGCCGCTGCTTGACTATCAGGAGGAAGTGAGTGTGTCTGTGTGTGTAATAAACCTCTGATCAGTGTGTAATCTCTCACATGGAGTGACAGCAGAAACATATTCATCTGACAGTCACACTTGAGTCCCGCTGGTAAGTCAAATGACAGTTAAATGTTTCATTTTTAAGTTTGATTGAGCTACTTAATGTTCAATTTTATACATGTTATATTGTTAAGCTGGGGGTTTATTATTGTTTAACATGGGTAATGTCGCGTTTAAGGATGTCTAATTTAAGCTATGCTAAAATCTATACATGCGCATGAAGTCTTTCTCAGAATTTAATTGTTTATTGTAAAGAAATTCAGCATTTTGTTTCTTCAGGATAATTTATAATATTTATTTATTTAGCTTTTTTAAAGTCACGTAGTCTTTAAGTGTGATTAAAAATGTAATAAATGTAATGCAGTTTTTGTTTTCTAACTTGAAGCCCTTTCATACTGAATTTTTGTTAGTGTTTTAATCGCTTTAGCTATTCACAATCAAGGTGTCATGCACATTTTAAAGCCTTTTTTACATCATTTTTGGGCCTCTTTGATTACCTTTAGTCTTTTTTATTTTGGACGTGTGCATTGAGGGTTTTAATGCATTTTTAGATGAATATTTGATCACTGTGTTTCCTTATTTTTAATAACGTTTTTAAGGCGTGCACTACGAGGTTTTTAGACCATACCTTAAGTGTTTTTAAAAGTTATTTATACATTTTGAAACCTGATAAACTGACAGCGGACTGCTAAAACCTTTGAAAACAGGCCTGTTTTGGGCTCTGAGGATGTTAATTGATTATATATGCTTTTGTTGAACTCATTTTGTTCAAATGTACTTTTAAACGTATTCAACAGGAGAATTTGTAGTAAAAACTACATTAACCATGATGCTTCACAGAAATGTTCACCAAGCAGAATCAGTGAGGAATGTGTATAGACCCTTTTGAGGGATGTAAACAAAAACAATAGTCCCAACGGATCTATTGTTTTAGTTTTTAAGTTCCTAATGCTTCCCAGAATGCGAAAAGAGCCACATATTGATAATGTTATGAAAGCTGTTTTAACATCAAGTTATGATTGAATTGCCTCTTGTTAAAGTTATGAAATAGTTTGCTAAGCAGGAAATGGTTATGGACCAATGACATGACCAAAGTGAAATGGTCTATAACAGTTTGAGCATGCAAAATTCTGTCGTACAGCGCTGGGAAAAGGAGCGGGATTAAACATATCTTTCAGATGAGATGTTAAACCAAAGTCATGACTCTCTGTGGTCGTTAAAAATCCGTGGATGTCCTTCGAAAAATAGTAGGGGTTTAACCCTGGCATGCTGGCCAAATTTGCCTACTGGCCTCTGTCCATCATGACCTCCTAACCCTAACCATATGATAATTGGCTTCATCACTCTGTCTCCTCTCCACCAATCAGCTGGTGTGCAGTCTGACGCAATATGGCTGCCGTCGCATTATCCAAGTGGATGCTGCACACTGGTGGTGAATGAGGAGATTTGCCCAATGTGTAAAGCGCGTTGAGTGTCCAGAAAAGCGCTATATAAATGTAAGGAATTGCTGTTATTATACAAGATAATTAGACATTTAAAAAGCTGAGCGATTGGTTCATATTTAACATATCTGTCTAGAGAGGTCATGTTTTGATCTTCGATTGGTCTCATGCAGTCATGTGATGCGATTTCGCAGGTCACCAAGATTGAACTTTGCTACGCAGCGAACTGCAAAACTTGTCGCATGAGCTTGCGCTTCCGGCCTGTCACATTTGGATGCGTATGAATTGAAGTCTATGGGGCGAAAAGTGCAGTGTGACCTCGGCTTAACTCCGCCCACTCCTTTTTATTTTTTACATATTTTGAAAGATGAAACATCAGTTTCTTTGGATAAAAATGATTAATTTCTTATTGTTTTTAATGTGTCATTCACAATGCTTCATGGGCTTGTAGTTTTTCTATCATTTGAGCTGTTGGGTATCTTGATCGTTTTACCTTATTTCCATATGCTTTTTGGTTCAAAAATCGAAATGTAATTTGATTCACCTCAAAGCTGATTGGCCAATGAAACATAAACTCAATCTTAGTTAATCTAAATAGGGGGGAAAAAATCTGAAACCAATGCTCTATGAAGTTATACTTCATCTAAGTGAATAGTTAACCCAAAAAGTGAAAGTTTACTCACTATTTACCAACCCTCAAGTTGGTTACTTTAGGAGTTTCTTCCTTTAAATACAGGGTGGAAATTATACATTGATGATCAGGGGGATCATCGTTTTCTGTAATGTTAGTTTGTGTAATACATGCTTCAGTTAATCAAGTGTATGTATTATTTTGTGAGATATAGAGTATTCTGACCTGATTAGCTATTTTCGGCTTACTTTAGGTCAGACTACTTAACTATGCATGTAATTTGACTTTACTTGTAGGCTCTATGTAGAGACGTAGAATTTTTTGAGAAATCAGTCTTGTGATCTCTTACGGTGCTCTAAATCTGCTGGTTTTAGACTGTTGAGTGACTTTTTTTGGCATAGACTGATTTGTGCGATTATGCATTAATGGTATGAACCATTATAGGGGTGGTCAAATAATTAACTATTTTTTTAATTTTTAACTTTACTATTGAAAATACAGATCAGAGTGAACTTTCTTAGATTTAAAGGGGGGATTAAGCCTCAATCCACCCCAAATCCACCTGTAAAAGTGGGCGTGTCCAGCTCTGTTTAGGGGGGAGTGTCGGAGGAAGAAAAGTGGGATGGTGTGGGAGTGTCTATTTGGGCACGCGTGAGTTTCAGAGTCAAAATACACACACACACACACACAGTAGAAAGTGATAGTGTTTAACCTACATGGACATCTGTAGTCGAATTATTTGCCAAATTATTAAATGGTGGACTTTAACTGCAGTTTGGCCAACAATAAACTTCCGGTGACAGCTTAATGTGATTTTCAATTTCACAAGGTTGTTTTACAGCATTGATGTTGTAATGTAATTACAATACATTCAGATAAATAGACTTAAGCGATCGTTTAGTTGTTCAAGCCTAAAATTAGATGAAAGACCATTGTAACCACTAGCGCCGTCAGTAGGCTAGCGCAGAAGTTCCATTGAAAATACTGGGGTACAATAAACTCATATTTTAAAGACATGGCAGGTGGAAATGAAATTTAATGCAGTGCTTATTTGATCTGAAACCCACTTCATATCGTATATCTAACAGGCAGTTAAGGTCGCTGATTTTTTATTTTTTAAGAAATCAGATCCTAAACATGACACTTTTGTAATGGAAAAGTTCACCGGAAAGCCTTTGGGCTTCGTAGCTGACAAAAGTCTGTGCATAAAGCCCATTCGCACCCTGGCCAAAGAGCTTACAATGACCAAGAGGCAACACTCAATAGAACGTTCCATTGCAACAGCTGCGCCCAGCAACGGTTGTTGCTAGAGCGGATACGTTTGCGGCCGGAAGTTAACGCGAATTATTTCTATTATTTATTACATTTCTCATTTGTTGTATTTTATTAACGTCTACCCCCACCCCAACCCTAAACCCAACCGTCACAGTAATGTAAAAACTGTAGTTGTACCGAGTATTAGTTATGTTATATATTAAATTACCCAATAAAATGTATTTTTAACGCCTACCCTAAACCCAACCCTTACAGTACTGTAAAAATATTAATTATTGTTATACAGTGTCTTAAAAAATGCTGCTTTATTAATGTGCATATCGCACTTCCGGCCGGCCGCATATCCCATCTAGACTTTACCTCCAGCAACAGCCCTGGATTCTGCCATTTTGGAGTGAAAGTGATCGGATCTCATTACTGTCGCGATGGCAAGCAGCTGCTTTGTTTTTTATTAATTTATTTATTTAAAAAGTGCATTAAAGCTGAGACACAACCTGAAAGACGACAATACAGCACTTACTATCACAATCATCAGCACTTTTAATAGTTTATTTTACAGAGTTATAATATGTTGTTGTTCTAATGGAATTTTCATTCCAAAATGGCCGCCGCGCCCTCTAGTGGCTGTTTCCCAAATTACACTAGAGTGTCGCCTCTTGGTCATTCTAAGCTCTTTGCCCTGGCTGAACACAAAAGATCATTTTTTTTAGAAACCTGTAACCCTTGACTTCTCTAGTAAGAAAAACAAATACTAGGAGAGTCAATGTTTACAGGTTTGACATCAAAACATTACATTTTAAGCCTACAATAAGAAAAAGAAAAACCTTTAAAGGTTTGAAACAAAGGCAGTGTAAATGGCACGATTTTGATTTATGAGTGAACTATCCCTTTAAATCTCGTCATCGCGCTCAAATAACGCTGCTCAATTTGTACCTCAGTCTTCTGAAACAGGTTGTAGGTGCTGCTGATGTTCACTGCTCTGACTGAAAACACACATGGCCATGGTAAGTGAGACTCCAGCTAAATGTTCGCCAATCACTTCCAAATGTCCCCACAATTCACGGCTGTCACTTGTTACTCTAGAAAAACTGGACGGCAGGAACGCAGTGCGTCGCTAAAAAGGACCACTGCAAACCCAAAGATGGTGAAATCTCGTATCACAAAGGCGACATCTTGACTCTCGTGGGGCCTGGAATGGTAAATGAAGCACTTTTTTTAAAAGCTGTTCTCCTGTTTAAAGTCACTAAAAGTCAGACTTGTTCACAGCTGTGACCAGGGGCGGACTGAACTAAAAATCAGCCCTGGCACTGTAGCCACACCAGCCCACATTACCACACAGACACAGCCCCACCCAAGGACACGCACATTCACTACTTTTATTGGTGTACAGATGGTAAAATTATAAGCAGTACCTTATTTAAGAGACATTTAAACATTTAATGTATGTGACTGGAACAAAAGCAACCTATATATGTATATATATACAAAAAGCAATTTATATATTCAATCATGTCATTCATTTTCTTTTCGGCTTAGTCCCTTTATTAATCTGGGAACCGTCAGCTTATCCAGCATATGTTTTACACAGCGGATGCCCTTAAAGGTGCAACCCATTATACTGGGTTACCCAATTCACAATTGGCCTACCCATTTCACCTATAGCATGTGTTTGGACTTGTGAAGGAAATCCACGCGAACATGCAAACTCCACACAGAAACACCAACTGACCCAGATGAGGCTCAAACCAGCGACTTTCTTGCTCTGAGGCGACAGCACTACCTACTGCGCCATCACACTGACCCCTTTCGAGACTAGTTCAGTAAAGTTTATGTATTTGGCAATGTCTGACTTGACTGCCTTTCCCTTTTTTTTTTTTTGCACTTACTGTTTGTTTGACATTCTTGCCAGATTTTGTTTACATATGAGTTGCCTCAGATTGGGTCGGCCCATCTCGAAACCAGGCGGTTGTTGCCAATTGGGCCAATGCTTAACATTTACTATTATTCTAACTATTATCACCATCATCATCATCATCATAATATTCACATCTCGCACGAGATATAAGATGCCTACATTTAAAAAACAATACATATGAAAAAATAAATAAATAAAATAGCTGACCGGCCCACATTTAAAAAATGGTCCGGCCCTTCTGGCATTTGCCAGAATTGCCAGATGGCCAGTCCGCCCCTGGCTGTGACTAAAAATGTCTCTGAGTTGGGTTAATGTTGTAGAATACAATGTACAGTTGTTTATATAGCCTATTCACCTCCACTGACCGTTTACAACCAAGACAAACTATTCCATCGAATTCTGACATCATATATAGAGCTCTGGAATCTACGTCACAGTTGCTGTCGCCCATGTGTGTGGACAACGCTGGAGCATACAATGTAAACAAAAGCAAATCACAACAGCAAAAAAACGAGCATTTTATAGTAATATCTCTTGGAAAACATCTCACAAACATGCTAAATGAAATGTACTAACCTGTATATACCTTTATGAATGCTCCTCGTGCTTTTAAGAAGCTGATAATAGACATTTCATAACATTCTGTCGCCAGCAGTGAAGTGTACTTTACTGGAGAAGTCGAGCACACATGTAGAGGAGGTGGAACAGATAAATGAAATCCTAAATCAAAAGAGATGGGAATCAGACTCATTTTCCTAAATAATGAGCAGGTATTGCGCTTTTACGACACCGTCTTGTTCTATAAGTTGACGCCATAATAGGAACACAACTGACAAATACCATAGGAAGTACTTTTAGAATGAAAGTCGACTTTAAAGGGCCATGAAACCCTCGTCTTTTGGTTTAAATGTACCTCAGAAGTTTTCCAAAAATGCTCAGAGATGGGCCTGTGGCTCTGCAAGGAGAGGGAGGAGTGGACATGGCCGGCAGAGCAGGGGAAAAGAGGAGCGAACAACTGTTGCAGATTGCCTCACAAAATAAGACAAACTCTGAGATGCAGCATGATTTTATAGTTTAAATGCAAAAAATTAAACCGTAATTCATTTAATGCCCTACTACATTTGTTATTCGTAATTTTATATACACATAATTACAATTTGTCATATTATTATAAAGATAGCCATGCTTTTATAAACACTATAAATGAGGAGGACTTCTCTCCTGGTGAAACCCCGGGTGTGAATGCAGACACGGTGGATAGCAGTGCAGCAGGCCTCTTTCCCTGTTTATTTTAACCATTAGCCCTGATGGTAATCTGGAGGATTTTAAACATAGGCGAACACAGCAGCACGGATATAGGCGATGTGTCTGAATGGTTATGAACTCAACTGATAAAAGACAAAATCCGCCATTCTCTAATTCTCATGCAGCTCTCCTAACAAAAATGTTTGCTGCAAACCAACAGCTTTGCTGTATCGGCCCTGACAGCATCGTGGGGAAAAACATGCAACAAACCCTGTGGATCATGGAAACAAACACATACAACACATCATTCATTCATGTTCTGTTCAGCTTAATCCCTTAATTAATCTGGGGTCACCACAGCGGAATGAACCGACAACTTATCCAGCATATGTTTTACGATGCCCTTCCAGCTGCAACCCATCATTGGAAAACATCCGTACACAGTCATTTAAACTCACTACGGACAATTTTAGCCTACCCAATTCACCTGTACCGCATGTCTTTGGACTTGTGGGGGAAACCGAGCACCCGGAGGAAACCCAGGCGAACGCAGGGAGAACATGCAAACTCCACACAGAAACGCCAACTGACCCAGCCGAGGCTCGAACCAGCGTCCTTCTTGCTGTGAGGCGACAGCCCTACCTACTGCGCCACTGCGTCGCCCACATACGACACTTCATGAACAACTAAATACTGTCTCAACCAGTCATTGGGTCTCACAGCTTGGCAGGTCTGCCTTGCCTTCGGAAAGCATGTGCTCTTATAATTAGTTAAAAAGCAGGATCTTCTTATAGCATAAGAAAGCTCTGCTATGAATAATAATGAGCACCATCACTCCAATAGCAGATTCGTGCTACGTCACTGATTTTGATCCCGCCCCCAAAATGATTTTAAACCCGAAAGATAAAATAAGCCGACAAAAGGATCTAGTTTTCCCCACAATGAAAGCAAACCCTTGCTAACATTGTCTTAACTGATGCTAAACACACACAAATCTGATAAAATCTCCAATAAAGTACTCCAGGGTGTCTTGAACCTTTAAAGCAGGCATGTCAAACTCAATTCCTGGAGGGCCGCAGCTCTACACAGTTTAGTTCCAGCCCTAATTAAACACACCTGATCAAACTAATTGAGTGCTTTAGTCTTGTTTGAAACCTACAGGTGAGTGTGTTGAAGCAACTCTGGAACTAACCTGTGCAGGTCAGCAGCCCTCCAGGAATTGAGTTTGACATCCCTGCTTTAAAGTCTGTGTGAAATCACAATTGACAACTTTATTTTGTTAGCTCACATTATTATACTTGCAGTAAACGATTAAACCGGCAAAGGTTAATCCATTTTAAAAAAAAGTTTGTTTTCCCTGCTAAAAAATCCAGCTTAAACCAGCGTAGGCTGGTTGGCTGGTTTTAGCTGGGCGACCAGGCTGGTTTTAGAGAGGTTTTGGCCATTTCCAGGCTGGTTTCCAGCCATTTCCACCCTGGTCTTAGCTGGTCAGGCTGGAAAATGACCAGCTAAATCCAGCTAAAACCATCTTGACCAGCCTGGTTTAAGCTGGATATAGCTGGTTTTGGCTGGGCTCCCAGCCTGGCTAGGCTGGTCAAGCTGTTTTTAGCTGGTCATCTCCCAGCTAAGACCAGCCTGGAAGTGGCCAAAACCCCTCTAAAACCAGCCTGGTTGACCAGCTAAACCCAGCCATGGATTTTTCAGCAGGGTTGGTAATCTTCAATCAAAGTTTGACCATTTGCTTTTGTGTTTGGAGTGGCAGTCCTTCTGTTGACGTCAACTTGAGGGCTTCAATAGCAACTGCATAATTACTGCTAATTTGCAACCAGTGAATGATGCACAAAAAGTAAGCCCCGCCCCCTACTCAATACTGCTCTTCAGTTGGAAGCACATCAGCATACTGAAATAAACATCTCAGCAGCTTCCAGTTCACGCAGACTTTAAACAAAAATTAAAAGACTAACCGTGGTTGCTAGTAAAGTAAATATACATTTTTATTTCACAAAGACTTTAAAAGGATTGCAAAAATTTACACTTTTATTTACCAAAACTAGTCACTTGTTTAACTTTTTTCTATGTGTGTGGCTATTGAGCTTACAAATTTTGGTTTCTCGAACATTTGGTTTTCAAAGCATGTTTTTCCCGTGTTGGCGTGGGTTTCCTCCGGGTGCTCCGGTTTCCCCCACAGTCCAAACACATGCGCTATAGGGGAATTGAATAAACTAAATTGGCTGTAGTGTAAGTGTTTGTGTGAGTGTGTATGGACGTTTCCAAGTACTGGGTAGCAGCTAGAAGGGCATCCGCTGTGTAAAACATATGCTGGAATAGTTGGTGGTTCATTCCACTGTGGTGACCCCTGAAGGGGGTCGCTTTGGATAAAAGCGTCTGCTAAATGACTAAATGTAAATGTAAATGAAGGGACTAAGCGGAAGGAAAATGAATGAACATTTTCTATTTGTTAGCCCAGAAACTGCATTATTATAAAAAAAAAAACATTGCCTGTAGGTTACGAGAGCGTTCCTGAAATCATGTTTTCGTGAAGTTACCCCCACCTCCCCAAAAAATGTTAAGGGGAAAAAACTCATTGCTTTACTGTCTGAATCATGGATTGCACTTCTGGACTGAGGAGCTTTCATTTAAAGGAATTGAAACTAATCTTTTAAAGTAAGGCTATGTGTAGCAAAACTAATGGAGGTAGAAAAGACAATGACAGCTAATAAAGTTTTACTAGGCTAACTGCTCCAAGTATACAAGTATTCTCAGTAAATAATGAGACAGCGGACCAAATGTTGGAATCACCTTGTCCCAGGGATCCCACTCTTAGCCAAATGTCAAAATCCCAGATTAAAAAGCTGAATTTCCATGACTTAATTAGGCCCACACAAAACTCAGAATCAGATTTCCGCAGATTTTCAGCCCGTCATTGAGTCTATTTATTCTATTTATTTACTTGTGTAAATGTGTGTAAACTTATATTTATTCATCCTTTAAATTATTTCCAGTATTATTATTACTACTATTATTATTGAAAAAGACGCTTTACAGTGTGGACATTGATGTCGTTCTTGATGTGAACGGACATTTTCGACTAAAGTAGCTTCTGTTTTCCAGAGAAAAGGAGAATACACTGCCAGACACAACACAACAGGGGAGGAAGGACAGGTTTCAGGCTCCAATCTCAGAGAAAGAGAAGCGCTGCGTATAGACCCAAAACTGAGCCTCATGCCGTAAGTCAGCGATTCTCGAGAACAAATGAGCAATGTCGTGGTTTTCACAAAGAAATGATGTGGTAAGTTTTTCAGCCTGTTTACAACCTTCTCTGCTGCTCCACACAGATGGTTTCATGGCAAAATAGCCGGACAGCAAGCCGTGGACAAACTCAAGCCCACGGAAGACGGGCTTTTCTTGGTGCGGGAATCGGTTCGGCATCCTGGAGACTTCGTGCTGTGCGTTTGCTTCAGTCAGAAAGTGTTTCACTATCGCGTGATCTACCAGGACAATAAACTGACCATCGACAACATGCAGTTCTTCGACAACCTCATCGACATGATTGAGGTGTGTTACGCGGGCGGCTATTTTTAGCACGCTTTTTATTTTTATCTGCCTTTTTCCAGAGAGGCATCCGCTGTGCTGCAGGCCTGTGGTTTGCGAGCGGAAATAACAACTTGGCCACGCGCTTGTGGTGAACTTGGATGTTTTTGTGACTTTCAAGGGCTCTGTAGAGGAAAGTTTATTTTAGGTGATTTTTTTTTGTGGGTTTTTTTTATTATTAAGTAATAGTTTTAACCATTTAAAATATTCCCCCCCCCCCTTTTTTGCAATCTAGGGCCATATATACTTCCAAATAAAAGATAGTTTTGCAAACAATAAATAAAGTATTGAGCAAAAAATAAATAAATAAATGCTAATCTCCCAAAGCTTTAGAAATGGCTTTATAGGCTTTTCCAGAACTTAATTATTGTCTTTCTCTTTTGTTTCTGGATCTTGACATGATGTCCAGCTTTTGAGGATGTTTTGGTCTACTTCACTTTGTCAGGCAAGACCTATTTTCGTGATTTCTTGATCGCGAACTGGGATGGCAGTAATCAGGAATGGGTGAGGCAAGAGGAATTAAACCAGGGCAAGCACTTTCACACACACAGAGCTATGCATCTTTGGATTTAGCATTCCCTTAATAATACAACCCTCATGATGTGTTTACTTGTTATCTTTGACTAATGTTTAAATTAGTTTGACCAAAATTGTGTGTGTGAAAGTGCTTGCCCTGGTTTGTCACACCTTAATTCAGTTTCTCTGTCCACACCTATTCCTGATTACTGCCACATCAGTTCGCAATCAAGAAATCCCTAAAATAGGTCTTGCCTGACAAAGTGAAGTAGACCAAAAGATCCTCAAAAGCTGGACATCATGCTGAGATTCAAAGAAATTCAAAAAGACATGAGAAAGAAAATAATTGAGAACTATCAGTGTGGAAAAGGTTATAAAGTGCTTTCTAAAGCTCTGGGACTGCACAGTGAGAGCCATTATCTACAAATGGCTAAAACATTGGAGAACCTTCCCAGGAGTGGCCGGACAACCAAAAAAAAAGCCTTAAAACTCATCCAGGAGGTGACAAAAGACCCACAGCAACATTCAAAGAACTGCAAGCCTCGCTTGCATAAGTTAAAATGAGTGTTCATGACTCCCCCATAAGAAAGAGACTCGCAAAACTGGTTCAAGATGAAAACCAAATGCTGAGCAAAAATTACATAAATGCTTCTCTCAGTTTTGCCAGAAAACATCTTGATGATCCCCAAGACTTTTGGAAAAATACTCTGTGGACTGACACCAAAGTTGAACTTTTTGAAAGGTGTGTGTCTTATGTGTAGCTAACAAGTAACACCGCATTTCAGTAAAAGAGCATCAAACCAACAATAACATGTGGTGGTGGTGTTAGTGTGATGGTCTGGAGCTGTTTTGCTGCATCAGGACTCTGAAGACATGCTGTGATAAATGGAGCCATGAATTTTGCTGCGTATCAAAATAAACTGAAGTTGAACGTCCCGCCATCTGTCAGAGACTTCAAGCTAAAGCTAACTTGGGTTTTGCAGCAGGACAATGAACAATGCACGCCAACAAGTCCACTTCTGATTGACTGAAGAAAAACTAAATGAAGACGTTGGAGTGGCCTAGTCAAAGTCCTGACCTGCATCTAATTGAGATGCATGACCTTAAAAATGCTTAAGACGCCTCCAATGTGGCTGAATTACAACAATTCTGCAAAGATGAGCGGGCCAAAATTCTTCCACAGCGCTGTAACAGACTCATTGCAAGTTATCGAAAGCTCTTGTTTGCAGCTGTTGCTTGGGTTGGCTTATTATGTCATTAGGTTTAGGGGGTAAACACACTTTTTCCACACAGGGCAATATAGTTTTATTTAACTGTAGTTTTTTGTGTTATCTTTGACTAATATTTAAATAAGTTTGGTGATTATAGGTAATTATTGTACCTAAATCTTTAAGCAATTTTTTTTTTTTATTAAGTGTCATTTTAGGGGAGTTTTGAATTATTTATAAATATTGCTGATCACCTTAAAGGTTGTTGTAAAGTGTGACAAAATACTATTTATTAATTAATAACCTAACATGTATTTGTTTTAGCCCCTTCAGACCATGCGTCCATTACAATGGACATCACGACATCATATTTTTCTGAAATTTGGAACATAATTCAGGTCTGAAGGGGTTAAAATATAAATTACTATATTACATTTCATATAGGCTTTTCCTCTACTTATTTAGGTCATGTTTTGATAGCCGTATTAAATTGACTTTATTTATTTTCTAAATGTATTTGGAACTTTTCTTAAGCTTAATCTTAATTTCTGTACTTTTTTTTCCCACTAACTCTTAAAATTCTGAAAATTCATGGTAAGTCTTTCTTATCAATGCCGAAGCACGTGTAATCTGATGATTTAAAAGCTAGACTGGGGTTTTTTGAGGGAAATTTGAGTGCGTGTGTGTGTGCGGCCTGTATCAAACAAACTTAAACATGAGTCATAGATAACAAGTAAACACATCATAAAGGTTTTTTTTTATTATTATTAATGGAAAACAAAATCCAAAACTACATAGCTGTGTGTGTGAAAGTGCTTGCCCTGGTTTATCACACATTAATTCAGTTTCTCCAGCCACAACTATTCCTGATTACTGCCACACCAGTTCGCAATCAAGAAATCCCTAAAATAGGTCTTGCCTGACGAAGTGAAGTAGACCAAAAGATCCTCAAAAGGTGGACATCATGCTGACATGGAAAAAGAAAATAATTGAGATCAACCCGTGTGGAAATGGTTATAAAGTCTTTCCTAGCGCTTTGGTACAACACGTTGATAGCCATTATTATCCCAGGTTTTGTAAACGCTTTCTTTATGGCTTCAGTTTTACAGCAGAAATCGAGGCGCCATCGCTACATTATTACTAAAACCCAAGAAGAAGGAAGGCCTGAAATCTGCCGAGACCAAGCTGCTGAAATGTAAGTGTTTGACCAACAGATACTCATCATTTCTGTTTAATGTGTGTGCGTGTGTGTGTAATGTGTGTGACGTGCTTGTGTTTTCAGCCGGGTGGCTTCTTGATCTCTCAAAGCTGACGTTAGGAGAAATCATCGGGGAAGGAGAGTTCGGTGGTGAGCGTCTCTTGTAACACTTTCTTCATATATATATATATATATATATATATATGTATGTATGTATGTATGTATATATGTATGTATGTATGTATGTATGTATATATGTATGTATGTATGTATGTATATATATATGTATGTATGTATGTATATATATATATATATATATATATATATATATATATATGTATATGTATATGTATATATATGTGTGTGTGTGTGTGTGTGTGTGTATATATGTATATATATGTGTATGTATATATATATATATATATATATATATATATATATATATATATATGTATATATATGTGTGTGTGTGTGTCTGTGTGTGTGTGTATATATCTGTTTTATTGATGCACATTAGTCTGAGAGTTACAGTATTGAATATAAAGAATCAGTAAGACGTAAATTGTTCCAATCTATCAGCAGAAAACAAAATTAGCTCACATTTTCTTGCTCTCTGAATTAAAAACAGTACAATTATAAAACTTTACATATATTACATTTATACAAACTTATTCATTTATACTAAGTAAACTGACGCGTACTGTATTGTGTATATATTTAATGGATGCGTTAATGAGTGTAGTTTCCGCCAGATAACCACTAGAGGGCAGCAGCTCCACAAGACATGGTTTGCTAAAGATAATAAATCAAAAATAAAATAATACAAAAAAAAAAACGTTTGAGGTTAATTTTACCTTTGATACATTTGTACACTGATAATATACAAGCTCTTTTGGAAATATATACAGTAGAATACACTATGCACCATTAAAATACCAACAATACAAAATAGTAATGTAATATAGGTTTTTGTGTTTGTTTATATGTATTATATAAACATTTTATATGTATTTATATGTAGTTTTGTATAGTTGTAATTAAAATTATGAGTATATATTGAAAATATCAGAATTCTACATAATATACAGTAAGATAAGATTCTTCATAACATTATTATAGATCATTTTTTACTTTAAATAATCGTTTTTAAGATGTATCCAGTTAACTACTATATATTAATTAATAACTAAAATAATATTTCAAAATATGATTAAATAAATATCATTATATTTAGTTATAAAATAATAATACTAATGATAGAAATAAATATATAGTTCATAAATTAATTCTAATGCAATAATCAGATTCAGAAAGAGCTTTATTGCGTGGTACATTCACACATACAATGAATTTGTTTTGATGTACAGAGTACAGTGCAACAGAATTACAGAGACAGGACAAAAACACATAATAAATATATTTTTAAAATAGATGTACTGTATTAGTTTAACATAAATAAACTCTTTATGAATAATATTTCATTTAATATTACATCTAAAATACAATTGTGCATAATTATGTACCTATTAATGAAAAATGTCTTATACAAAACAATAAACATCAATTATTGTACAATAAAATAGTAATTAATGCAATTAAAATATAAGTTACTATAGCTAAATATACTTAAATTATATACAATTAATTAAAAGGAACATTAACATTTAATCCAATGTATAAAATAAGATGTTGACTCAACTTAAAATTGTAACACAACTTGCTGCACTGCTTTTTTTTTTAATTAACTCAGCTATTAACCCAAGAACAGCAGTTGACTCAATTCAAGAGGGGTCAAAATCAAATCAAATCAAAAAAAGCTGTGCAGCAAGTTGACTGAGAAATTTTAAGTTTAATCCACTTTCTATTTGTTACAGTGTGCTGTTAGCTTATCTGCACATGCAAAAATGACAGTCATGCTAATTCAAAATCTGTAATGATAGACGGATGCTGAAGTTTGAGTGTTGTAATGTGATGTAAATGTGTGTATTTCAGCGGTGTTTGCAGGTGAATACACCGGACAGCGAGTTGCAGTTAAAATCATCAAATGTGATGTGACGGCGCAGGCTTTCCTCGAGGAGACTTCAGTCATGACGTAAAAACAGCACATAACTCGTGTATGTATGTTTATATTAAACACTGATATTCATAAATATAAAACTCTCTTTCTCCAGAAACCTCCATCATAAGAATCTGGTGCCGTTATTAGGAGTTATTCTGCATAACGGGCTTCATATAGTCACAGAGTTAATGACGAAGGTACAGACGAATATGATATGATGAGTGTTTTATTGTAATGTACTGTATGATTGTTTTAGTAAATAAATGTGTGTGTTTTTTTAGGGGAATCTGGTGAATTTTCTTCGTTCACGAGGACGTTTCGCTGTTAGTGTGATTCAGCTGCTGCGATTCGCATTGTAAGGCAACACAAAAATACACACATTTAAGAAACTACGTAACATTTAACATAACAAATAGTGTTTTTTTTATTTAATTTAAGAAAAAAAAGACTTGTAACGTTAAGATAATCAAGGTTATTTGTTTTTGCATGAACCAAATCACAATTTTAAAAATACAAATAATATTTAATTCTCCATTATTTGACATTTATTGAGAATAACTGAGGATAGTGCTGTTTCTATTTTGTGTTATTGGTTTATTATATGGTAATTAGGATGTTTTTCCTTAAAAACAAACTTATTTGATTTATTTTCCGGAGTTTCTGATTAGCATTAATATATTATTTTATTAATTCGTTCATGTTTTCATTTATTAATGTAATGGGAATTTATTTGTAAAAATAAATGGGATTTTTCTGAAATTAATCCAATTAAAAAAATAATTATATATGTTTCATTCATTTGGCAAAATAGGCTTTATTCTGGACTTTAAATTATTATTTTTTTGTGTGATAATAGAGAATTTTAAAATAAAAGAAAAGATTTATTTGTGCTATTTTAATATTATAACTTAAAATAAAAATAAAACATTTAATATTACATTATATATTTAAGATAATGATTTTATTTTTCATGATTGTAAAAAATAATATTAATTTATTCTTAATTTATGTTTTTATTTACAGTTATCTTGCATCACAATTATATTATTTTAATGTAATAATAAAAGCTTTGTGTCCTGGATATTCTTAAATCAAATCACTTCAAATTAAATCACATTGAACAGAAATATGCTGCATTTTCATATTTCCGTACATCTTTTATGTTGTTTCATATTATGTTTTTGTATTATTTATTTATTTATTAATAATTTAGCTTTGTATTAATCAGAATCATTGTAATTTTTTTTTAAACAAAATTGCTATTTTTATATCTTATTTTAAGCAATTTTTCTGTTTTTGGTCATAAAAAACAGTCTTTACATCAATTTATTAAGCTTAATTTCATTTATTATTTAGTTTTATAAATAAATTTAAATTACGTAAATATTTTGACTCAATGTCAAATGCAACTCTCAATAATTGTCATATAATATCATTTAGCATTAGGAATAAGCAGGGAATATTTTAATAATCATTTATGTGAGTCATATTTATCTGTGTGTGTGTTTTTTTTAGAGATGTATGTGAAGGAATGGAGCACCTGGAGTCAAAGAAGCTCCTGCATCGAGATCTGGCTGGACGCAACATTCTCGTCTCTGAAGACGGTGTCGCCAAAATCAGTGATTTCGGTTTGGCGAGGGTCGGTTCAATGGCGGTCGACAACTCAAAGTTACCCGTGAAGTGGACAGCACCAGAAGCCTTGAAGAATAAAGTGAGAATAGAGTTTAATTGGTTTCCTACAACAGGTTTACATCCATCCAAGATCAAAAGCGTTCTCATCATATTTATACCTCATATCATATTTACTGTGCACATTGTTTGCTTTGAACATGCTGTATTCACCTTAATCACGAAAAAACATCCCGTGGGTAATTGAGAGCAAGTGATGTGATGCACATGTACTGTTATTACCATAACTTATTATAATTTAAATTTTTATTTATTTCATCTTACAAATGACTTGGTAAGGCTATGTATGGAAGTGATAACCAAACTCTTGCTAAAAACCCTTATGTTGTGTGCTTTTGTAGAAATTCTCCACTCAGTCAGACGTCTGGAGTTACGGAGTGCTTTTATGGGAAATCTTCTCATACGGCAGACAACCGTATCCCAAAATGGTGTGTATTTTCCCCCATCTTTTCTCATTTCTTGGTGGATTAGTGGAGCTGTGGTGATAAATTGATTGAGATGCAAATTGAGAAAAGATTCGGCATCGATTTTAAGATTTTCTGAATACACTGAATTAATTTTGAGCTTAAGTTTTACCAACAGCAGAACTCTGTTTGACTCCAATTCCATACAAAAAGGTTTAAGTAAATTACAAGAGTGACTCAACCAAGCAAATAAGTGATTTTAGTTTAGAGCAGGGGTGGCCAACCCTGGTCTAGAGCATTATTTGCTATAAGTTAGCCTAGCTCTTCATCTCCTGCTAAAAGTAGCCTAGAGCGCTGTGTGCTGCTGGAAAAACTAGCCTAGAGCACCATCTTATGTTAAAAACTAGCCTACAGTGCCTTCTGCTGTTGAAACAAAATTACCTAGAGATCCGTTTGCTGTTAAAAACTAGCCTAGAGAGTCGTCCACTGTTAAAAACTAGCATAGAGCACCGTCTGTTGTTGAAAAAACTAGACTAGAGCATCATCTGCTGTTAAAAACTAGCCTAGAGCACCATCTGTTGTTGAAAAAAATAGACTAGAGCATTATCTGCTGTTAAAAACTAGCATAGAGCACCGTCTGTTATTGAAAAAAATAGACTAGAGCATTATCTGCTGTTAAAAACTAGCCTAGAGCACCATCTGTTGTTGAAAAAAATAGACTAGAGCATTATCTGCTGTTAAAAACTAGCCTAGAGCACCGTCTGTTATTGAAAAAAATAGACTAGAGCATTATCTGCTGTTAAAAACGAGCCTAGAGCACCATCTGTTGTTGAAGATACTAGCCAAGAGCACCATCTGCTTTTAAAAACTGACCTAGATCATTATCTGCTAATATAAACTAGCCTAGCGCTCCTTCTTTTGCTAAAACCAACTTAGAGCGATGTGTGCTGTTGAAAAAACTAGCCTAGAGCACCATCTCATGTTAAAAACTAGCTTACAGTGCCATTTTCTGTTGAAAAAATAACTTGGAGATCCGTTTGCTGCTAAAAACTAGCCTAGAGAGTCGTCTACTGTTAAAAACTATCTTAGAGTGCTACTTGCTGTTAAAAATTAGCCTAGAGCATCATCTACGGTTAAAAACTAGCCTAGAGCTCTGTCTGCTGATAAAAGCTAGCCTAGAGCACCGTCTGCTGTTAAAAAAAACAGCCTAGAGTGCCGACTGCTATTAAAAATTAGCCCAGAGTGTCATCGCTATTAGAAACTAGTCTAGAGCACCGTTTGCTGCTAAAAACTTGCCCAGCGCTCCATCTTCTGATAAAAACTAGACTAGAGCATTATCTGTTATTATAAACTAGCCTACCAATCCATCTTTGGTAAAACTAGCCTAGACCATTGTGCACTGATGGAGAAACTAGCCTATAGAGCACCATCTGTTGTTGAAAAAAATAGCCTAGCGCACCATCTGCTGTTAAAGACTAACCTAGAGTGACTTCTGCTGTTAAAAACTAACCTTGGGTATTATCTGCTATTATAAACTAGCCTAGCTCTCCATCTTCTGCTAAAACAAGCCTAGAGTGCTGTGTGCTGTTGGAAAAACTATCCCTGAGATCCATCCTCTGCTGAAACATTTAGCTTAAACCAGCTTAAGCTGGTTGGCTGGTTTTAGCTGGTCGACCAGCCTGGTTTTAGAGGGGTTTTGTACACTTCCAGGCTGGTTTCCAGCCATTTCCAGCCTGGTCTTAGCTGGACAGGCTGGGAGATGACCAACTAAAACCAGCTTGACCAGCCTAGCCAGGATGGGAGCCCAGCCAAAATCTGCTATGTCCAGCTTAAACCAGGCTGGTCAAGCTGGTTTTAGCTCTAAAACCCCTCTAAAACCAGCCTGGTTGACCAGCTAAAACCAGCCAACCAGCCTAGGCTGGTTTAAGCTGTTTTTTCAGTAGGGTCTGCTGTTAGAAATATAGCCTACAGTGCCTTCTACTGTTGAAAAAGCAAACATAGCGATTATTTGGTGTTGAAATCTAGCCTAGAGTGCCATCTGCTGTTTAAAAGTAGTCTAGAGCACAATCTGCTGCTAAAAAAAACTATCATAGAGATCAATTTGCTGTTACAAACTAGCACAGAGCAACATCTCCTGTTAAAAAAGTAGCCTAAAGCGCCTTCTGCTGTTTAAAAACTAGCCTAGAGCTCCATCTTATGTAAAAGACTAGCCTACAGCACCATCTGCTATTGGAAAAACTATCATGGAGATCAATTTGCTGTTAAAACCAGCCTAGAGCACCATCTGCTGTTGAAAAAACTAGCCTGGAGCTCCATCTCCTGTAAAAAGCTTGCCTACAGCGCCATCTGCTGTTAAAAAAAACTATCATAGAGATCAATTTGCTGTTAAAACTAGCCTAGAGCGCCGTCTGATGTTTAAATCTAGCCTAGAGTTTAGTTTACGGTTAAAAACTGAGCTCAGAATCCATTCTACGGAGAATTACATGGTTTTCAGAAAATCTAAGATACAATCTACGCATCGTATCGAAACGTATTGTATCGATGCATCATCACAGCTCAATCACTGTCGCTTCATCTGGCATGTTCTTTATTGTCAGACTGTGAATGAGGTGAAGGAGTGTGTGGAAAAGGGTTACCGGATGGATCCTCCAGACGAGTGTCCCGCAGACGTTTACAGCATCATGACGTCCTGCTGGCAGACGGAGCCCAAGAAGAGGCCGTCGTTCCACAAACTGCGAGAGCGACTGGAGAAAGAGCTGAAACTGCACACATGAGGTTTACCCAACGCTCAGGCTGCGTGTCCACGCAAGCGCAATGCTAATAATGCGTAGCTGTGAACGTGTTTTGCAGCACATTGCTGGCTGTTAATATACAGAGTAACCTGCGCTGTACCGTTAAAAGTTGAAAGTCTTTAGCAGATTATTTATTTATTGTTTCGCCCCACCTCCACTGTGATTGGACGGCTAGCTCAAAAGAGACACTGATATGCACTGATATAAGCGCCCGCTCAGTGCATCACTACGCTGAAAAATGCAAAGCTAGCATTGACAACAACAGAAAACAGTCAACTTCGGTGGACGTACAGCCTCACTTTTACTTCGTTCTTTTGTAAACGCACATTATATTTATGTGTTAGGTTTGATTTTATGGCTTTTGGTTGATTGGGTGAATTTCTGGAAAGCGTGTTCAGGCACTTCATCACACAATCAAAAGTATAATCGGGATTTTGCATGAAAGTTAAGCCTATTTTAGGATAATACATTCCTTTGTTGTATTTTCTTGACAATTAAGAAGACTTTAACTCTTGACTAGTGTTGTCACGGTACTGGCATTCAGTACCAATCGCTACTGAAATTTTAAAAACGTCCATTTCCTGCTAACATTTGAGCACGTTCTTAAACAGCACTGATTTGCCATTGTGTTCACATGCTCAACAGAAATGACTGTGATTGGCCATGAAGGTCCTCAGTTCACCGAACTCACCGCTGTTTACTGTGTGTAAGCACAAATACAGGAACATTGGAGCATTTTAAAGCCATGTAGATCAGTTGATCGATCAGCAGATCGCTCGTATATCAGTGTTACGATTTAATAAGTTGTCTAGGGAGAGTAATCGTAACGTTTAGAATGTTAGATTATTACTGCAGGAAATGGATGGAAAAGTTACAGGGAAAAGAAAGCACCAAAGCAAAGAACTAAACAAAACTAAAAGCCACCTAAACTAGAACACAGGATCCCCTGTAAACTTACGAATGAAAATAAAAAGGTGAAAAAGAAACCGAAATCTTTAGCGTTTGTGATGTCATAACACCCCATTAACACGGGGCTTCAGCGTCAACGCTTGACTGAAGGCGTGTCTGAAGTTGGGGCTGAAGCGATCGTCATAGAAGCGTCAGCCAATGAAATTCAGTCAGCAATAGGCCACTGTCTAGCTGGTGTATTTGCATACAGCAATCTGATTGGCTGACGTTTCTGTCGGCGCTTGAAAAGTTGAGCTAGTCTCAACTTCTGTAGCGAGCAACGCCTCTGAAGCGGCGCCGACGGATTGACAATGCTGTTCGGCAACGCCTGACGTCACCCATTCAAAGTCAATAGGAAGTGTTGACGCTGACGCCCCGTGTGAATGGGGCGTAAGGGCCGTAGTGGGACTCCTTTTCAGCCCTGGAGTTTCAAGCCGTAGACCGGCCCACCTCAGTTCACGACTGACTATATTAAAATAAGGTCATTTCCAATTCAGTTTCTGATGACACTGTCACATCGTTTTGAAGGACACAGCTGCTTTAGACCTTGAAATGTTTTCCATAAATATGAGAAGATTAAAGGGTGGCTAAATCTCCAACACTATTTTTTAAAAAATCACAATGTCCTTTCCTGCAATATCTGAATATATATTCTGTGCAAAATTCATTATAGATGTCCAGTCCTTTGTAACGGTGGTCACACAAAAAATAAAAATAAAATACATGTACACCTACATAAGAAACACAAGCACTATTATATGTCTTAACACTAAAAGTGAAAAAAAAAATTACTCGCTCATGTAAGGTTTGAACTCAGGTCAGCAGCATCGTAACGCAACGTGCTGACCACAATGGCGCTGTTATGCTGGTGCGTTAGGAATAAAAAATAGGTATTGCTCTGTTATCTGCAAAACTCTTTTGACCACAGTGTTACTTTCTATTGATGGCCTAATCTTTTTCTCCTCTTTTCAGATTTCTAATCAAGCTATGTCAGATTAATTAATGTAGTGGATCATCTGATTTTCATTGAACAGGAGTAATATTCATTAATATTAATTAGTAGAATTCTTATATTCACTAAGGTCATACCTGTCAACATTGGGATGGGAAAATAAGGGATATGCCCACCATAATAAGGGATTATTAACAAAAGAAAAAATCAATATAGACATTAGCAGCAAATACTTTAGCAAACAGTTCAGCTTATTAAAATTAATAGCTGTTATAATGATATAGAATCAAGCTATCAAATCTCATTAGCCGTTTCTCCACTGTATAACTTAAACATTCTGATTTAAAAGCAACCAATGAATCTCTCATTTATTTAGATTCTTTTTGTTTGATTACATTAAAAAACAGTCACTTTAAAAATGCACACATCTAACATCATAATGAAAGCATTCGATTGCTTTCCTAACTTTTTATGCTCATTTAAGACGAAATTAGTTGTTTGAAAAGAAAAAACACCAAGATCGACATGTTTATATGTTATTATTATTAATTATGTGTATATGTCTATTTAAACACGCACCCAAAAGCCAGACTTTCACTCCACTTCAAATCGCGTGTACAGAATCCGCTTGGGAAATCATTTGAGCATCTGTTTATCAGTATGGAGCACGTCAGCTGACAGTCATGGACCATTATATGACTGTTCTGAGGATTGTATAGGAGGCGCGACGGCACCTGTAATCAAAAGGAAAGGGAATTACGCCTTTTTTTTATATTTATTTATAAGTGTTTCCATGTTTTCATTCCTAAACAAAGAGAAAGCACAGAACAGACTCGCATTTAAGAGCAAGGGGCGGCCCCTGGTGGTTCGGCGGTATAGGTTGTGTATAGGGAGGTTCGGCTCTTCAGAGAAAGACTGAAAATACGGGAGAAATAAGGAAAAATACCTTTACGGGATGATAGCGGGATAGAACTGTAAAATACGGGAGAATTCCGGGAAAAAAAAGTAGGGTTGACGGGTATGACTAGGGTGCCGCTGTTTGGGGTTGAATGATAGTTACATCATCATTAACCTGCAGGCTGCATTTTGCTTATGGGGCTGCGAGAAAATAAATAAAAAAATTATTATTTATTTTTAAATAAAAATAATAATAAAAAAAGAGTGAGGCTATGCTCAAATAAATAAATAAATGAAAAAAGTGTGACTGCTGAGAGTGCACGCAGCTAGGGACAATGGCCCTCGCGGCCAAAAAACGGACCGATTCACCGGGAATTCGCCCGGTCCTCCTGATTAGCCAATCCGGGTCTGGGCACCCATGAAGTGCACTCCCTGAAATAATAAACAAAAAGCTGCGCTTACCCACCCTCCTAATGTTTCTGAACAATTCAAATAAATACGGGCAAAATGTATGTCGCGTGACTTGGTAACCTATTCCTTTGTCCCCAAAAAGGAATAAAAAAACTTTCACACCATACTGACTTAAATTTACACTTATAAGCAGACCAGCTGATCTTCGTACCTTTAAAACACTCTAGTGTCCCTGTATCTGTGGTTACATTCAGTAAACAGCGGTGAGTTTGGTGAACTGATGACCTTCACGGCCAATCACAGTCATTTCTGTTGAGCATGTGAACACAACGGCAAATCAGCGATGTTTACGAACGTGCTCAAATGTTAGCGGGAAATGGACGTTTTTAAAATTTTATTGCAGTATCGCTACAACAATACTCTTGATTTCTTTTTTTATGTTTTAATAATTGTCAAAATTTGTGCCATTATTGTAATATTAAACTAATATTACATATGGTTTTGTACTTTAATTCATCGTAAGGCATAATAATGAGACTAAACAGACAAAAATGATACTTTTTACCCTCATAATTGTGTCATCTCATAATTATTACCTTGTCATAATAGTGTATTATTGCAAGATTATAACTTGTTATTGTTGACTGATGTCATGTTTTTAGCTCATAGTTGATCTTATGTCAGAATTTCGCCTTTTTATCTCATAATTATAAATGTGTCAACTTTTATCTCATAATTATAACTATAACCTTAGTTCATATTGTACTAAATCACTATAAATCACAGTTTGAACTGTCATAATTTGGACTTTTATTTCATTTTTTTCTTATTTTTATTTTGTCTCATGTTGTCATCTCATAATTTCCGTTGCATCATAAATACAGCTGTAACTTTATCTCATAATTATGAATCAATGAGTAAGCAAGAACATGTAAATACTTCTAAATAGTATATCATTATTTTAAATGTCAATTTTGCTTTGCTTAAAGGTGCTGTATGTAAGTTTTTGACTTTTCTAAAGCATAAAAATACATTAATATGGTTGCAGATATTTCAAAAACTTGCCAAGGGAACCTTCTTGTTTATCTGAAAGACAATGCTGAAGTCAGATATTCTTTTATTTATTTATTTTTAAAGATTTATTTTAGGCCTTTTTGCCTTTATTGAGAGGACAGAACAGTATTTTCAGACAGGAAACTAAGCAGGAGAGAGGGGGGTAGGGTGAGGAAATGTCCTCGAGCCAGGATTCGAACTCGGGACGCCCTGAGGTGCTACTGCACCATATGTCAGTGCGCTAACCACTAGGCTATTGCGCTGACTGAAGTCAGATATTCTCATTTGAAAATGTGTTGTACATGTCGGAACGTCTGTTTTTGTTTTGGTCGCTTTAACCCGCCCACTGCTACTTTAGCCAATTATATTTCAGCAGCCAGGTTGCCTTGATGGAAAGCCACGTATTTCATTCATTCAATCAGAATCTTAAAGTTTGTTTCCGTGACTGAAATGCGACCTCTGGTGGACAGTAGCAGACTCCGAAATGAGAGGCAGATTCAGAATTCCACATGAGGTGGTTAATTAGCAAATAAATATCAATGTTAGCAACGTAAACATTAGGTGAGCAAACTACACTGTAACACCGTGTCCTAACAACACGCTACAGGATGAAATTTGATTTTTAAGCAAATGGGCTGTTTGCACCAGACAAAACTCGACACGTTTAAATACAGCCACACAGAATAGTGCACTCACTGCACTCCAACAAAATGGTTTATAATCGAATTAATACATGCTAATCACAGTTCTGATATTCAATTTCAAACAGATTATTATATTTTTTCAAGATCTAACTATCTGCTGCTGCTTTCAGTAGTATAGCAATAAATGTCATGTAAAATGACATTCAAACTCGCATCATTAGCATTTAACGCTGAATAAAGCACATGAGGTGTACCTGAGCTGATCATTGTCGGTTTTCTGTGGTTCAGCTGCAACAAATTCCAGATGTTGTTAGAAAAAAAAAACTTTTAATATGGAAAATATTCCTTCTATCATGCACCTTTGCTTTTGTTTATAACACGACTTAAATCAGCCTTTAGGTTCAACTTTCAGGCACACTGTTGGTGTTCTCAATCTGGCAACCTGAGCTTGCATGCGTTTTGAATCAGGAGTGCAATACCTAGTTCAACCACTGTGTGTCGAGCTTACATACTGCACCTTTAATTAACATATGGATTTCGGTTGGGAAATGCGCTTAAGTATTATTTAATAAATGTTTATTTTTTTCTTTTGTTTTTATTTTGGGTGGAAGATGATCCAGTCATGTTCTGATACGCCTCAAGCCTGATTTATACTTCTGCGTCAGGTGACCGACGTAACCCACGGCGCAGGCAACGCGCGTGGCTGTGCATTTATA